AGATGTCAACCCGCCCGGTATGATGGTCTGGGTCTTGCTTTTAGGGGCTCGGACAGCCCAGCTTGCACATGCTCTCATGGTGCGGTTGGGGTGGATGACAAAGCTTCGTGGCCGGAGGGATGCTGGGGGCTCGTGGATGTGCAATGCTTCTCGTTTTCCTGCTTTTTTTGTTGTTAAAGCTGGAAATGAACGGACATAAAGTTTGGCTAACCTTAAAACGGAGCTGGCCGGGTGCTTTCCAGCTCTCCAAGGAGCAGTTGAGGCTGATGGTCATTTCTCCCCTTCCATGAGCGTCGCCAACCGGGCGCAGCATCCCAAGCTTTCCTGCTCTTTCCCAAACCACCAGCTAAACTGGAAACGGCCCTTGGACACCGCTGCATTTGTGCACCAAACCTGATCTGGGGAGAAACTATTTCCTGGGTTAATTGGGGAGAGGGTGGAAGCCGTCCCGGTGTCGTGGTGGTGCCTGGCCATGGCAGGTCCCTTCCTCGAGCTGGGCAGCTTTTTCGTCTCGTATGTATTTCCCTGGAGGCATTCCTTGCCCTTTGCTCTCTCCCCTTCAGATGCCCAAAATCTTAAAGAATGCTGTTAGGATTTTCTTTTTGCATGGAATCAAGGAAAACTGAAGTGGTTTCAGGAGGGTTTGTTGTTGTTTTTCCCCAGCGTGACCCACAGAACTGGGGAAACGAGCTCTGTATGATGAATACAAGAGTGAGGTTCTCCCTCTGTTTGATTTAACAACCCTAGGTGCTGCCGCACCGTCTTCAAGCAGAGCTCTGGCCCAATTCCTGATCATATTGCCCTCAAGTACTTGTTGTGAGTGATCGGTTCCCTCCTCTTGCCTTACGGTCTTATCTTGTGCAAAACCAGAGCGGGCGATTATCCCAGGGTCGGATGGTTTTAGGTTTGTCAAGCACCTCGTTGCGTGCGGACACCTCGGAAAGCTTGTCCCTTTCCGTGGGAAGTGGGTCGGGGAGGAGGCTGCGGTGCTGGGATTTATTCTTTCTTAATTCTCCGTGATTTTTGTATAAATGTGGCCTCTTGCTTCCTAATTGCTCGCTCTCAGCCTCCACCAAGACGGGATTACTTAAGATGCCTTGAGGAAAAGGGGGATAACGCTAAACTTCGGATCGCAATTAGTTTTGCAACTCTGCCCCTTGGATGCGGAATATTATCCGGTTATTTGTGATAACGGTATCCAGAATATGCCTGAAATCCTTCTGAAGACCAGCACCAGCATTTGGAATTTGGAGGGTGTGAGGAGAGGCGCTTCCAAGCCTCCTCTCTAAAATTAGACTGAAGACCGGTGCGGAGGAGTCTGTTGCACGTCGGTCCTGCGAAGCCGCATCCATTTTGTTTCATCCCTAATCAAAGTTTTTTCAGCTTTGTGGCGGCAGGTAGGTGGTACCGACTCCGGTGGAGCCGTGCGTGTGCCGGGATGGCTTAACAGGCTTTCACTGGATGGAGGGTGCTACAGCTTGGGTTTGGGTGTGTATTTTGGGGCTGAACCCTGAAATTGTCCCGGTTTCAGAGTCCCAGTGGTAGATTAGAGGCAGCCCTCACTTACAAGCCCTGCCTGGTTCCTGGAGGTCAGAGGAGCATCCCGCCAGATGATTAAACGAGTTGTGAGAGGGGCAAGAGAGGCATTAAAAGACCGTTAAGGTGGTGATGGAAAGCAAAAGCCAGAGAAATTCTCACTTCGGGCTGAAATGAGCTGTGTCTCCTCCCGTCCTGCAGCACAACGGGGAGCGGCGAGGAAGGAGGAAAGGTGTCCTGTTGTGCTCGGAGTCACGGGAGGATCTGCCCCGCGACGCGGCGTTTCCTCCCATTTATTGGTTTTCGTCGCAGCAGTCGGCATTCTCGTAGCCGTTCTTTTTCCTGCCTAAATTTTTTTTTTTTTTTCAAGCCTGGTCTTTAAAGGCAAACCTCGCTGCTGTTGAATATGCAAACGCGCGGTGCCGTGGCGGTGGGGTGGCTGGTGCATGCGCTCTCCCAGCGTGCCGGCTGCCGGAGCCGTACGCTGGTGCCTTTTGGGCGCCTGCGTCAAAATAGCAGCTCAGTACGGCTGCGCGGGGGCCAGACGGTGCTAATAATAAAATAACTTGTGGCCACGTGCCCTTCTGTTCAATGGAAGAGTTAAAAAATGCCTTAAAACAGCCAGTTCTGGATCCTGTAGGGTCAGTGGTAGCGGTGCTGCTGCTCTGCACCCCGGTGCTGCCGGACTTGGGCTTCTGGGGCAAATTGTAGTGACCATAAGCTTGAACTGCCTGAAGCCAATAATTGTATTTTTCCAGAGTATCCTGGATTTAGGCCTCATTTTCATTGAATCTCAGAAAATGAATGCAGGAATCCCATTTCTTTGGGATTAGACCTAACCAAAACCCATCTGTCATCTCGGGAAGAGGATGCCACCGCTTACCGCCTGCTTTCCATCTCCTGGACCTGCAGCTTTGGGTTATGCCCTGTCTGTACCTGGGAGCAGAGCAGCTGTGTGCCTTGATACACGAAGACAAAACGTTTAAATTCTTACCTTTCATTCCAATTAATGCTCTGGATGGGTATCAGGGTGGGGGGGCTGGAAACAGGATCTTTATCACCAAACCTGCGTAAAGATAAATACTTGCAGGGAGTAGAAACCCTTCTGTTTGCGGCGTCTTGAGGTGTTGCCTTTCTCTGTCCAAACCTTTCTGGGCCTGATATTGCGGTCTTGGATGGCCGGGGTTCCCCTGGGGAGAATGGGAACCCCAAGGCAGAGGGCTCCCAAGAAGCAAGCTACGGAAACAGGATTTTGGAGGAAAGAGGCCAGACCTCTCCCTGCTGCCCTGGTGAGCTCATGTGTTGGGACTGAGCTTTTTACCCCTCTTCTGCTGAGCCCAAATACCTTTGGGTCGTGTCCTTACCAGCAAGGGAACAGATGGAAGCGTGTTTCTTCCCAGTAAGGAAGGAGGATGTCTCCTCCTGAAATGCCTCTCGTCGGAGACTAAATGTAGCTCTCTTCCCCCAAACTGTTCGCCCTGGCAAGGTGATTTGGGGGTGTAAGTCAGCTCTGGCTCTCCCCAGTCTCGTCCGCTCCATGCAAGAAGCTTTCTTGTTGCCATCCTGGCACGAAGCCTCGCAAAGCAAACGGGTGAGATCTCGCTCTGTGCCGCCCTGGTATCGCATCCTCCCTCCTAGGAGCAGGGGGGACCTGAAGGGAGATGGAGAACCCCAAATCCTCCTGCTGATGAGGTTTTTGCTGCTGACAAGTTCTGGGTTTAACAGTTCACTTGTCTTATTTATTTTTTCTTTCCTGTTCCCGACTGCCTAACGCAGTTTGTAGGAGAAGAAAGATAATTCACTTTAATGAATTATAAAACTTGTTTCACTGCAGTGGGTCTTCATTTTTCCTTTTGTCTGCAGCAGAGTCACTGTTTGAGTAGAATAAAATTAACTTAGTCCCTGAAAAGACAAAAGAGCTGAAACTCCTCGCTGCTGAGAAGAGCTGAGGGAGGGAGGGGGCAGGACATTATCTCGAAGGCCCCATATGCTTTGCCAATCATAAGGTTTTGGGGTGGTTTTTGTAAGCTGGAGTTTTAAATTTAAACACTTTGCCATTTAAAAATGGTTCTTTTATATATATATATATATTTATTTATTTATTTATTTTGTTTTCCCAGTCAGTCGCTGCGAGCCGTACGTGTGTATCCGGACAGAAACTGTGTAAAGTTAATGAAAGTTAATGAAAGGCTGTATCATCTTTGCAGACACCTACAAGTGTAGTTTCTCCATCTGTCCTCCAGCA